TTTAGGGAGGGCACATGCCCAGAGCTCTGTAAATTGGGAGTGGACACTTTTCAGTGCCCGATGTGCCACAAGGCAGGGCCATACCATGCCCTAATTTCCCACTTACAAGGCCACCAGAAATCTGTTGTTAAATATGGAGGTAAGTTCAGCCACAGATATTGATAAAAATTTTGTTAATACCAATGCCATTATCGATTCCCCTTACTGATCTGATTCTTTGTCAATTATGTTATCGATTTATGATCAGTAGGCTATTCTATGTGGGGAAACTTAACTGTTCTATTATTGTCACTGTTAATCTTTTGACTTGCTATATACTTGCTATTTTCTTCCATTTTGTCTCATCAGTGAGAAACAGAGCTCTGCAGTCCGAGGACTTGTGTACTACTTTATTGACAACAAAACAATAAAAGCTGTTGCTGGCTGTTTCATGTCTGATTTTTTTCTAAAATAAAACTTTTAAACTTTTGCGTTTTAAGGTACACATTTTGAAGATGGGTGTATGGTCATTTATTTTACTAGTCTTGTGAATTGTATACTTAATTCAAAAATATTGTAGCCTACTTAGTTCTAAATAAATACATTTTATTTGTGTCAACGGGCCAGCGATCTTTTGTGTTAACCCATAAGAAATCATCACCTTTGAGTGATATTTATGGCATGTGTGTGAGGACTGTGATTTTATGTGTAGGGTTTTGGTTATGTCTGTTTTGGTGCTGTGGTGGGCGTGTGTGTGTTTTTCCTTCTCTTGCAGTCTGGGCGGAGCCAATCCAAGGAGAACGCTCTGGCGCTGGCAGCTGTAGGTCATCAGCTCATCAGCCGCTCGTCCTTCAAATAGGAGCGGCTCACAGGACTCCAGCGCCAGAGGATTGTGATTTACCCACTGTGGTACAGTCCGGCCGCTTAGTACACAGCGTTGAGCTAAGCTTTGATAGTTTTCGAGTTTCATTAGTATCATGCGTTTTGTTGTTTTTCTCTGTGCCTCCAGCGTTTTCTCCAGGCTCCTGCTTCAGTGTTTTTCCCTGGCACGCCTGCCGAGTCTCTTCCACGAGAACCTTCAGCCACGAGCACCATCACGGGTAGATTCACGGAGTGCACACCACCACGGGTAAACGGACTTCTTCACGAGCCCCTGAGCACCCAATTCCCCTCACGACGTCCTCCCTGCACCTCGGCACCGACGGCCACCTACCCGGATTCCCCCCACCACGACTGGAACCCCTCCACAGGACCCCGCACCTGGTTCCCCTCCTCTGAAACCCTCACTGTGTAAATAAACCACGTTCCTGTAACCTGTTTTCCTTTGCCTCCCTCCTTCGTTTGGGTTCACCATCTGAGCTCTTGAGCGTTGGTCGTCACAATGTGATGTAGTAGGCCAAGCTGTGACACTGTGGCTCTAGGTGTAAGCAACCTATTTTAATTGAAATAACTGGTACTANCAGGGCTATACGTAGAGACAGACAACCAAGCACACTCACATTCACACCTACGGACAATGTAGAACCACCAATTAACTTCAACATGTTTTTGGACTTGAGGGAGAAAGCCGGAGAACCCAGAGTGAACCTATGCTGCATGGGGAGAACATGGAAACTCCACGCAAAAAGATCCCAGTATCCAGGCTAAACTGTGCAGGAACTTCCAGGCTACAAGCATGAATATCGTAGATTTTACTTTTATCTGCTGCTTTCTGGTGACCAAAATATTAAGTTAATCAGATTTACCTCAAAGTACCGGTTGTCCACCACCTTTCCTGTTTCCATGGTGATTTTATTTGTGAGGTAGTCAAGGGCCAGAGAGGCGAAGCCGTGGGAGGCCAGCAGAGCTGCACGATACTCCACCAACAGCCCTCCTCCCCCCCACAGGTCCAAGAGGCCGGGGAAAGGTCCAGGTCCTTTAGATAGATCAAAACCAAAAAACATTCAATCATTTCATTACATGTTAGTATTTTTTTGCTATGATTTTGTAACTACAAACTGCTTTTAATGGAAAGCTTTTTGAGTGTTTACTAAATATCTGTTTGCTTAAATATTCAAACAGCACATGCTAGGTACGGCTTAAGGGCCTTTTCACACCTGAAATTCCAAACCAATGTCCATGTTGTTGTTGCATTGTCTACATCTTTACAGTGTAATAATGTAACTGCACTCAAGAACTTTACCTAACATACCTACAACTTGTCATCTGGCAATGATTGTTTTGTAGACAAGTGCTTAGAATGAAAGGAACTTCGTCCTTCTCTTGGTCAATATGCTGCTTTTTGAAATGGCATTTGCAGCTTTGTATACGGCTGGTGAAGTGTCTTCATCTTCAGTTGGCATTGCTCCCCTGTCCTCCCCAAGTTTCTCTCCTTCTCTCTCATCCTTTCAAAAATACTTGAAGTTCTTCCCAGTAGTCTGGTAATGATGCCGTTGCGCCATATTTCAATTAAAAACCTTATCTTTTCCCTTTGTACTATGGCAGCTTATTTTTCCTTTTCCTGTTCTGACAATAGCCTGATATAATTTCCTGTAATTGGCTACAATGTCAAAACCATCCGAAAATGTTTTTACACTAGGAACACTGAACCATGGTTTAGGTTGATCCAGATTGAGATAGACCATTAACTTGTACCAAAGTTGTTAAGCCTAGGTTTCTCGCTTGTAATTTTGGTTTTGCGCAAACTCAAAAGTCAAAAAGCCCACACCAAATAAGTTAGGTGGGAACAGGCCCAAAGACTCTTCCTATATCTCCTTGTCTCTACTCACTGCATTGGCTCCCTGATGCACCTCACATCCAGTTCAAGCCCCCAGTGCTGTTCAAAGTTACACCCACAGAACATCTCCCTCTAGATGTTCTTCTGGTCCTACCTGTGGGCAGGAAGAGGGTTGCAGTGAGTCCGCAATCTGTGATCGGAACTCTACGGACGCCAGGTGCCATGTACCAGCGCTCTATCAACACACTGGCCAGTGGCACCTGATTCACAAAGCCGTCTGTCTGGTGACCCTGGTACACTGATATTGTGACCTCCATGGGAGTCTCAACATTCTTCTTCCTCATCCTGAGAGACGATGGGAGAATCAGCTCTGATACTGACAATGAATTCTGTGTTGATTGGCATCATCTTCACAGCTGGCCTACCTGAGCCCAGGTTTGCTACCTGGAACTGGTCTGAGGCTCCACAGTAGACCCATGGCTTCAACCCCAGAAAAAGTTCCACCCAGACTGGCATCCTGTGAAACTGTAAAGTACAAAGCACAAACTTTTTTGATACCTGCAAACATTTCTAAATGAATTTCCCTGAATTTTCCACATCTAAGTACTAGACCAATCTACCGTTCACAGTCCCACTGGCATTGGCTGTGTAGTGACCAAATGCTTCCCAGCTGTTTCCGTCTTCGCACTGGTGGAGGGCATGGACAGTCAGCTGGAAACCAGGGGGGACCTTCTGTACCAGGACAATGAATTTTTCATCCATGAGTCCTCTGGATGGATGGACTGACAACTTCACACAACAGTTCTTTCTGTCCATCCTGAACTGAAAAGACAAATAAAAGACTGAGAGAAAAATACATTGAAAAATGGACTTCTACTACTTCTGAAAACTGCTGGTTAGTTTTGATTGTACTTCACTCTCAATCTTTTTATGTGAGTCTTTACCATTGCCTTGTGTTTTCTTATAGCTTGTCCTAATGCGTTCTACGCCTTATATAGTGCAATTCAAAGTCCATTTACATTCCATTGTTGTGCTCTACAAACAAATTTGCCTTGTCTTGAACTATAAAGCACCTTATATCCTCATAATTTAGCAGGTTTTGTACAAAATCCGTTGGTACAACTACTTTATCAATAGAGTCACACTTGTGGCATAAAAGTAGATTAAAGTACAAATACCTCAGATTTCTGATGCTAGCATAAACGTGCTTACACATTCCACAAACCCGCCCTGTGTTGTGTAAAGTCCACTCAGTTACTTTAGGTGTGTACAGGGCGCAAGTTCAAGGTGAGTGTACTTTAACCGGACATTGTCATTTACGGCCAAATATGTTATCTACAACAATTCAAGTAATAACAACAGCCTTAACCTGATACAAGCTACTGTTCAACTTTGCTCTTGCATTTACAGACAGAGAATGCTCGCTACTGTGGCGCACATGGTTTAAAGCTCTAGACACACGCATGAATATATGCTCATGCCACAAGTTTCTTACCTTTTTAAAAGACGACTTATTGTAGCCTACGAGCAGATCTCAGAGCTACTAGCTTCAGGGTTGTTGGTTCTTGGTGGACTTTGGTTTGTAAAGTGTCTCTTCTTTTACTCAACTCACTAAAGACTCTGGAACAAAAGCTGTGACAGAATCTGTGTGACTCTACAACCGCAGACTTTACGGAGCTTCACTCCAACTGTCCGACCAACACTCGGCAGCTCGTCAGAGGCTTCAGTCTCCTCCCAGAGACGATGCTCTGCCCGGCCACAAGATGGTGCCGTCGAGCCGCTCAAACTCCACAATGAGAAAGTGTGGTGCAGCCGGAGGAGCTGGTAATAAAATACTGCTAGCAGAGTAAATGATCAAACCTTCAAAATACATTCCGCCTCCACTCAAATAGGAGTTTAGTCAGTCGTCTCCTGAATGTCTGACCTTCGCTGCGCAGAAAAATATATGCTATGCACCAGAGGTATGTACCCCAACAGACCAGCCAACCAGCCAGTCCGCTCTAGTGTACTGTACTTACAGAGCAAAGTCCTTCTTCCGGCCTGTTGCATTGTGGGTAAAACCTAATTTGTAAACTGCAGATCTCTATGGAACTAAAACAAGAGGGTATTAGTTGTCGTTGAAAAAAATGTAATTGAAAAATAAATAAATAAAAATGTGAAGATTGTTTCAATGACATTTTTTTTCAATGACTTTATTTTATTTTATTTTTTTTGTGACAACTGATACTGTCTCTGTTTTAGCTCCATAGTTCTCAGTTTTGAGACTTTGGTCTATTTTACTTCCTTAACATTTCTTCTTTTACACAAGTGGAAAGAAAACATCCAAAATACACTTTTTATCTTTGATATATCTTCTACAAATAAAAATTAAGATATTGCGGGAAACTTGTAATCTAAAAAAAAAATAAAATAAAAATCTCTTAATCTAAGAATATAACTGAGGAAGTTTTACAGTGATATCAAACACTCGCTTTGTTTTGTTGTGTTTGTTTTGTCCATTAATGGTAGTTTCCAAAATGTATGGAATGAATGGAATGTTGCACTTCATGCTTTAAAAGGCCATTTTCTCAAAATATATATATTTTTTCTCCTCTACTGAGCAAGATATTGCTTGTTGCACTGACATACACTACACTTTCCAGTTTTACTCCTGTCTATATTCTGAATGTTTTAACAGAGGAGTTTCTTCATATATCACTCACATCCAGATTTATATTTCTAAGGTGATTAAAAAGAAAAATCCCCAATCCCCTTAGACTCTAAAATGTCAGCAAAAAAAAAAATTGTGTTTACAATCCTGTTCTGTTGTACACAAATTAGCACATATTTAGACAATAATACCTAATTGTGAACTCAAACATAAGATTTCAGAAAATGTGGAACACAAAAAGCAATTGCCTTAATCCACGTAATCACATGGTAACAACTATTCGTAAAACGTGTTACCCTATCCACCTGTAGTGCCTCCCCTTAAAATGAAAAAATCCATCTTAAGTGTGACAGTTTTAGTGCAACGTTGAATTGATGCAGTTTCTTTTGATGTCAACTGAATTTTAAAATATTTCTAAAATGCCTCTAATTTTTACTTAAAGCTGTTCTGACTCATTGGATGTTTCTGTTGTCACTCGTTGAAACACATACATTTGTTTTGTATGAAGAAGACACTATAAATAAAGTTACCTTATCAGCACCATAACCCTAATACATGTAATGGACTTTATGCAAAACCTACTTTACATATAACTTGTATGTTGCCACTTCTGGATAAAGTCCATTTACATATTGGAGTTCTTTTTAGTGGAAATACAAAAAAACAAACATAAAACACTGTAATGTTTGTTGATTTAATTACGCTAAATCTGCCACATTTTTCCCCCCACTTCTAAAGCCATAACAGGCTGACAAACCCACTGTAAAACAAATATATACAAATTATGCTATGATTACAATTTTTACAACAATTGGCCATAACTGGACCTCCTTCGTCCGTTATTTTTCACTGTGCTCACTGTTTGGGTCTTACTTAAATATCTTTTCTATATTATATATTCACCATGTATTTGTTATTATCAGAGTAAAACCTCTTCTTATTGGAAAATCTATAATGTTGAAATTGAGAGTACTAACATGCTCATACAAATATTACATGCTTTGCAAATAACATTCAAATTACTTGATAAAACAAAAGCAAATGAGAAGTGAAAACTGACATAATGGGAGAAATGGGATATACAGCGGGGAAAATAAGTATTGAACACGTCAACATTTCTCTCAAAAAACATATTTCTAATCGAGCTATTGAATGAAATTTTCACCAGATGTCGGCATCTACCCAAGTAATGCTCACATACAAAGAAATCCAAACATTTATGTCCATAAATTAAGTTATGTGTAATAAAGTGAAATGGCACAGGGAATAAGTATTGAACACGCTTACTGAAATTTATTTAATACTTAGTGCAAAAACCTTTGTTGGTGATTACAGCCTCAAGACGCCTCCTGTATGGAGNCGAGAGCGGCTATTAGTGGTACTATTATTTAATACCAAGTTTTGGTAATTTAACCTTTAAATTGCTGTGTCATTTTGATCTGTTCTAAATATCTGAATGACACTGAGTGCACACTGTAGTCTAATTGCAGCTCAAATAAAGCAGCTACAGTTTCACTTTGAGACATGCTTTTGGCTATTTTTTCTTTTCTTAGAAAAGCAAAGTCTATGCTTTAATAGTATGAGGCTTTTGATAAAGCCATCTTAAACAAATGTGCCCATGCAAATAAGGTATTTCTAAAGAAGTTTAGGAGGAGAGATGGTATCGGTATTGGCAGATACTCAAAGTTGAAGTATCGGTATCGGTATCGTAAATCAAAAAGGTATCAGTCCATCCCTAGTATAGATAATGGATGGATCTTTGTATTTGCTCACCCCTTTTTCTTAATAAGAATCGTTGGTTTTAGTTGGCCAAGTTGGTTTTCACATACAAGGAATTTGACTTGGTGTTTTAGTGTCTAACAGTAACCTGTAGATTTAAATAAGTGTTACCAGTCAGCAGGCAGTAAGTGTTACAAGACAAAAATAAAAAGAAGCAGTGTTACAGACCAAATTAACAGTAAGTGTAATAAAGGGATTATGAGTCACAAAAAGTAGTTGAAATACTTTGAGTAAAGATGAAACAGAGCACACTAAGGCAGCCATGCTTGGTGCCATCCTAAAGGTTCATGATTTAATAACAGCAGCACTGGACCTGTGTAAACTACGCCAGTTTGTTCAGACTGTATTTGTGGTGAAGCGATATCACATGTGCAGTATAAATGAGACCTGTCTCCAAAAATCACTTTTCTATATAACTAACCTGCTTTTTCAATATGTTTTGATGGAAATGTCTTTTGTTCTTGATTATGGTTGGTTGTGATGTGTCACAAATACATTTCTCATAAAAAACATCATTACCATTCATTGTATTGCTGTCCAGCTATCAAGAGTAGTCCTTTACCCCAACTTGCATTATTTTTCTTAGTAATTTTGGTGTCTTGAAAATAAAAGTTTAGTTGAAAAATTGTGATGCCATGCAGGACAAAACGTAACTGAGAATGCAGTTTAGTTGTTCAGGAACATCATTTTCAGGGGATAGGGTTGTAAAGCTTTACATTTCAACACTTTCATTCAATCCAGAGTTTACCTCTGGTCTTTTAGATGAATAAGCTCACATGCAACATGCAGTTTGTGCTGAAAGATGGGTCATAAATACCTTCACTATTGTGAAAGTTCATCCAGTACAAAGAGAGACCCAGATTGTGTTTAGCCGAGCTTGGCATATAGACAAGAAACATGGGGAAATTGCTAGCTCAGCTATTCAGCAGAGAAGAAATACACTTTTACAACTGTATCTGTCAACAGGAACAGAGTCTACAATGGTTGAATTTACTGATTTGATAATACACCTATTACCTGCTTGCCAACCTAGATATTTAGAGAAAGAATGAACTGAAGGAACAAAGAAGCACAAACTGTGACTAACCAGAAAACCTGTGATAACTGTGATGAATGTGTGCCATGTCTCTGTCAATCATCCTCATTTATTTTAGCAGTTTAATGATGATGAATGACCGGCAGCCTCCTGGATGATACAGAGCTAATCATGCTAATACAAACTCGGCCTGAAAAAAACATATTGAGGAGTGTTAAGAGGTCAAAGGTCAGCTGTCCCCAACACAGTGAGAAATGCCTTTACCCATGCCCCCCTGGCTCCACACACACACACACACACACACCAGCACAACAAGCACATTAAAGGGCTGACAACAGAGACACGGTAAAGGGTAGCAGACAGAAAGACTCAGCTGCTTTAAAATAAATTCATACATTTAATATTCATGGCGGTCGCACATCATTGTCTCCTTATGCAGATGGGTGGGTGGGTGTGTGGGTGGTTGGGGGTCTCATTCAAGACAAAAGGACACAAAGGACCAAACATCTGTTACCATCAGGGCTGATGTAATGTGACACATGAAGAAAATCAGTTACAGTGAGGAAGTTTTATGGAAGCTGGAAGCTACAAGCATACTGTATACTAAAGACAGACCACAAAGTGCTTTTAAAGTAAAATTTTAATATTGGTTTGCAACAAGGAAATCTCTAATTTGTTCTTATACAATATTCTATATAATTTTAAGATTTGGATCACTCAGGCAGACAAACCAAGACTTAAATCATTTCTTAAATACAACGGGGTGTAAAATGACTTGAAAAATGATAGCTAATTTATTTTGAAAGCATATGAGGTTGCAACACAATCTCACACCATAATGATAATGTCCACAGCATAAAAATTAGTTACTATTGCAGTAAAGGCTCTAGAATCCTAAGATTCATACATGTTTTTGGTCTGTTCTTTTCTGCTGGCCTGTTGAGCATCATGGAATTCATGAGTTCCTTTCACCTGACATATAAATAGAGCAACAAAATCGAGCCAATGAGGCCAGAAAATGGGTTTGAGGCCCTGTAGGGGAGCATTGTTTTTTTGGCAATTTTTGTCAGTCATATGGACGA